AAATAATCATTCAAATATCATTTCTGAAATGCTTTAAGATTTCATGTATTATCTACATATGAAGACTTTGCTTTAACTTTTATCTCCGTTTTCCTTTCTGTTGACAAATCGTGTATCAGGTATCGTTTCCTCTTTGCGTCATTAATTGTATGCCCTCTGGCGACTGTAGATAATTTATGCATCATTAAATTAATTTTTGCGCGACATTTTCAATTTGTTATCGTATTTCTTTACATTCTTCGTACATACCTATGTACATACATATGTACATATATATTTTTCTACATACAGACAATGTGCTGATCACTCGACAGAGTAAACAGTTCAATGCACAAACAGACGTGCTCGAAATAATAAGAACAACTAAGGCAGGCTTATAAATCGATATATTTATAAACAAAATAGTACAGTTGCGTTTTACCAAGCTTTACAGATTTCCAGGGTCGAATTTATGGGATTTATTTCCAGTGTTTGCACAAACACCTTCACTGCCTTTCTTGCTGAATACTTTAGTGCATTACGTAGGACCACCAAATCAAATAGAATCTTAGCAGGCTTTACTTTTGCTACTTATTACAGTATTTTTTTTAACTGGACAAACTACGAATTTCCGGTTTAAATTTCCTTAAACAATGTGCACATAAATTGATTTATGCATCTATAGAGAAATAAGTGTAGTTTTTGATTTATAAAATCTATTTGCCAATATGCAAATATTTGCGAGTGAGAAAAGCAATTTTTTAAGTTAAATTTCAGTTGTTATAATAGAGCTCTCAAATAGACGCCATTGACTTAACTTTTTTTTGTTTCCATATGTTCCATATGAGCTATTTCTATTTAAATATATTGTTCCGACTGTATTCCAAGTCCAAGTAGCCAAAAGTAATTTAAAAACAAATAAAATTTTGACTTTCGTCAAGCTAGATCTTCTATTCGAACCACTGTGCGTCAGTCGTATAAGCTAAATGGCATAAAGGGTGCGTATGTCATAATCAGAGAAATGTTTTTTTACGTGACGAGTAATGCGATATCGTATGTGACGATTCGAGCCCAGATTGAAATTTTTCTTCCAAGACCATCACTTCTTTGATATCATCCGCCATAACTGGTTTTTTAAGGTTAGATCAATCACTTCTTGTCTGCTGGTGATAATGTAAACCTATATTTTGTGCTACCAATCCAGAGGATGCAATAGTGTTTTGTGAGTTAGCCTCACGACCTACTCGTAGGCCCATACGATGCGACTCGGCATCGGACTGAACGATCTCTTCGTATTATTATTTTTAGCAACAAAATTTTGAACTTTCGGTTTGTTCAAGCTCCAGTTTATAAAATATTTACTTATTAATCAACTTTTACGAAAAACTTGCGCTAAGCACTTGAGTTTCCAGTTTGGTAAGAATTATCCAGCGGCACTATTGATTTTTTTGACCATCGCTATGTATTTGTACTTCCACATTTTCAACCTTTGATGATATTTAATTAATATTAATTTAATATACTCTGGTGTATAAATGGGCTGGATTTTTAGCCTTGCTTGTTTTAACCTGATGTAAAAGCATATATACACATCGTCGTTTAAAGTACAAAACCGCGTATCGGTATTCTGCAAAACCGCGTAACAGACATTGACTGCCAAAAATTGGATTTGTTCACACAAGCTCTTGGCTCAATCCTTACCCACTCGTCCTGAAATAGACTATCCAGAAATGCGATTGCTTTATAAAAAAGAGAACTATTTTGAAATATGAGTGTTTTTACGCTCTAGAAAATGAAATCTACAAGTTCACATACGCGTTTTTGCATTTTGTTGATACGCGGTTTTGAACTTTAAACGATGATATATGCACATGTACTACCGGTCAATGCATTTTATATATCAAATTAAAAAAAAAGAGCGTAAACTTTTTTATAAGTTTCTTTTAACAGCCACAGAATTCAAATTTAACTTTTTGTTCGACATTAAAATCCATTGAAGCTCCGATATATGTACATACATACATACTTTCCTATTAATAATACATACATACATACTTACCAATTCAATAAAACAATAGCACTAAAAAACTTTGGGCCTTATGAATTGAGCGCTGGAGACTACGTATACAGTATTGGCCAATACAATAGCACCCCCATTTCAAAGTGATATTGTTTGCCACTCATCTTTGTTTATTTATTTTTAAGAATTTTTAATTAAAATACAGTTCATTCTCTCACAAAACTCACATAAACTCAAGTTTAAAACTTTTTAAAAGACCGCAAAAAAGTGCAACAAATTTTCACCAAATTTCAAACTTTTTTCTCAGAAGCGGTAGAATTTTTTTGAATACACAGTCTTATAGCCCATTCAATTTTAGTCTAATAATGTGCAAGTTTCAAGTGGCTAAAAATTACCGTTGATTTTTTAGAATTTTTTTCGCCGAGGATGTTGCGGGTTTCTGCCATATAAAAATAAATTGTGTTTAGTCGTTATATGGAAGCAAATGAGACAAAAAAAATCTAAAAAATCAACGGTAATCTTTAGCGACTTGAAACTTGCACATTATTGGACAAAATTGAACGCGCTATAAAACTGTATACTCAAAAAAAAAAAAAAAAATTTTGAAATTTAAGGGAAAGTTTGTTGCACTTTTTTGCGGCCTTTTAAAAAGTTTAAAACATTGGTTTATATGGGTTTTGTTGGAAAATGAACTGTATTTTACTTAAACATAGTGGGCTACAAATCTGCATACCCGAAAATTTTAAAAGGGTATTTTCGATACTGTGAACATTTTTTTTTTTTGTTTTTTTAATTCTACCAAATTTTGTAATTGTGATCACAACTGACCATTACTTATTAAAATCACACAGATGATTAACGTTTAGCCAAAACTGGTTATCGAAGTGAACGACTTCATAGCATATAACAGGGAGTCGATAATGAAGTTTTACCTGCATTTAGTGTTAACTAGACATTGTTCATTGATCGATAAAGCACTCGATTTGTTCTAATCAGACATTGAACAACCGGCCCTTAGTGATGTTCAAATTCGCTTGGAACATATTGTATTTTTTTTCTTTTTTGTGATACGGCCTAATGCAAATGCCTAGGCAGAGAACTTGTACTAATGTTGTATGATGTGTCAGTGCTTTACTTGCTATAGATCTCTTCCGTACATTGACACGAGTGAATATACAGATAAACTGAATGTAGCTTTTTATGGCTTTACCAGCGAGCGGTCAATCACTTTTTATCATTGACGACGACAACAATACAACATACATATGTATGTGCTGCGGATATTTATATGCTAATCATGTCATTCAATTTGCTTCCGATAGTCTAATAAGCTTGTTTTCGCAGCTAAATTTACCGCCCTATTCCCACAACACTGACAAAATTCATCATATGACTATTGTCACAATTACTGCGCCTAAAACACAATATAAACATTGTTTCGCCGTTGTCACTTACTCAGTAGGTCATAACAATAAAACTGACAATTGTCATACGACAGCTTAAAATAAATTTGCGGCATAGTATTAGGCGCAGTAGTAAAGGCAATAGTCAGCCGCTGAATTTTGTCAGTGGTGTGGGAATAGGGCGGTTAGTTTCGCACTGTTACAGAGTCAATAAATGCGCCGGGAGATATGCTTCAAACTAACTCAAGGTGCATCCGCAATTTACATATATATGTACTTTGTTAAAATCATTTTTTCCAATAGGAAATTTATTGATTGCAGCCTTTCAAAGGGTTTTGCAGATTGAGTATGGTTGAGAGAGCGTAAAGTTTCTAATTTTTCCTAACGACAAGTACAACAATCAAGATTTGAGCCAATATCAATACATATTAGTAGTGCGTATTTCGGAGTGTTGGCATTGACTTGACCTCAGTTTTTGATAGTGTTTTTAAGCATTGTTATTAGATAAATTCCTCTCTCCCACCTGATTAGCTTCGTATACCTTATTAGGTGCGCTCGTTTAAAATCTCCAGTAAAAACCACTAACTGCCAAATTCCGGCAAAATGTTATCTGTTCTCTCACAAGAGAAAAATATCCCAAATAGTACGCGAACAGAAAATTTGCAGAAACTTGCAAGTTAGACGAACAGCTGATATAATTTTTGTTTACATTCAAAAGTGTAAAATTAAAACATACGAAAAGTCATCACAAAGTGTTATACTGACACAGTTTATTGATTAAACAAATAACTACTTATTTCTTACAAGTTTAATTAGTCGCATTTTGTAATTTTTAATGTCCAAACCATCAAATTCAATTTTTAGTCTGTTCCTATGAACTTCGGACTAAAACCTGTGGAACTGTCAAACTACAATTTTACTCTCTCAATTGAGAGTAAAAGGAGAACAGATGCAGAAGTGCATAGGAACGCAAAAAGCACTATTTCCTGTAAAAACGTCAGTCGGTTTGTTTACATGTCATTTGTACAACACTGATTTAGCTGAAATATCACTAAATAATTATTAAAATCTATACATATTCAAACATTTCGTTGTTTACTTCCATTTTTTTTTACAAATTTAAGGTACTTTGCTTTCACCGCTGTTAGTTTTTGCTTGCACATGCAAATCAGCTGATCGTTTGACACTTTTCATGAACTTACAGGAAAAGAAACTCCGGACTAAATCCTGTAACTTCTGACTAGGAACAGTTGCTCAGTTACTCTCTCAAATGTGTTCCCACTTACAGGTTTTATGTCAATAGGAACGACTTCCTGTAAGTTCTGACTAAATCCTGTAAACCGAACTGCTATTGGAACAGACTATTTGTGATTTACGTAAATGCCAACCAGCTGTTTTTGATCAGCTGTTTTCCTGTTGGCAAATTGCTGTTGGCAAAAATTTTTCCAACAGAAACCAGCAGCTTCCCCTCAAAATGAAATGTCACTTTGCTCTCTCAATTTCCCCTACTTTGCAAGTTTTTTGCGTACGCGAACGCAAAAACTTGTAAGTTTTGGTTAAACATGAACAATTAACAGCTACGCGAACACAACTATTACATGTGCGTTTATAAAGATCACTTTTTACTTTTGCCAAATCCGCACAGCAATTTTTTATTCATAAATTTTCAATATTTTCAGAAAACTATTTTGGATAGTATTGCGAAAGAGGACAACAATTTCACCGGTGACGGTTATACCAGTTTGGCAGTTATTTACACGACATTTTCACTATGCAATTGGCTGGCGCCGTCCTTCATATCATTTACAGGGCCACGTGTAGCTATGTTGGCTGGATCACTCACCTATACGTAAGCTAGTTATTGAAATTTTATGTGAATTTATGTTATTCTTTTTGTTCTCATCTCTTGCAGTCTTTTCATGATCATCTTTTTATTTCCCTCTAATTGGTTACTCTACCTGTCGAGCGGCATTTTGGGCGCTGGTGCTGCCATTACCTGGACGGGTCAGGGTAACTTCTTAGCTCGCTGCAGTGATCTCTCCACCATTTCGCGCAATTCGGGTGTATTCTGGGCGCTGTTGCAATGCAGCATGTTCTTCGGCAACATTTTTGTCTACTTTCAATTCCAAGATAAGGAACATATTGATGCAGGCACACGTGGCATGGTGATTGGTGTGCTAACAGCTGTTGCAGTATTGGGTATAGTTTTCCTAGCAGCATTGCGTCCCATGGCTGACAACTCGGTTGGTACATCCGAAATGCAACGGCAGCAGCAACAACATCGAACTGGCTGGGGAAGCGCTGTGTATGCACTGAAATCGGCTGGCAATCTCTTTATCACACGGGATATGTTGCTGTTAAGCGTGGCATTCCTATACACAGGTCTCGTATTATTATTTCTTTGCAAATAGAAGATTGTTTTAGTCAATAAATGTGTTTTTTACAGGCATGGAATTGTCCTTCTTCAGTGGCGTCTATGGTCCCTCAATAGGCTTCACAAAGAAGATACACAATACACCAAAGGAAATTGTTGGTCTCGCTGGCATTTGCATAGGCGCTGGAGAAGTGTTTGGCGGTGGTCTCTTTGGTATTTTAGGAAAGAAGACAACGCGCTTTGGCCGCGATCCTATCGTTATTGCGGGCTATGTCATACATATGATTGCATTTTTCTTGATATTCCTTAACTTGCCTGACAATGCGCCCTTCAAGGACACCGAAGATATATCCTATATGGACCCACCTCGCGCATGGATCGCTTTGTTGTGTGCATTTATGTTGGGTCTTGGTGATGCCTGCATGAACACGCAAATCTATTCTATGCTGGGTGGGGTGTATGTAAAGAACTCCGTGGGCGCGTTTGCGTTATTCAAATTTACGCAGGTTTGTCTATAATATACCCTTTGAATATACATATGTATGTGCTCTCTTTTTTTCTGAACACTCAGATAATATTTATTTCTACTTCCATATGCAGTCCATCGCCGCCGCTATCAGCTTTTTTTACTCTTCGCATCTTGGCTTGCGCGCTCAATTAGGCATTTTAGTCGTTTTCGGCACAATAGGCACAGCCTGCTTCTGCATTGTAGAATGGGCGGTCAAGCGACGCCAAAGGGAAACGCCAGAAGATTCAAGAACAGTTTCGCAAGACTCTCGCTCTGTTTCATACGACAAATAAGGTGAACATATTAAAGCCATACCTGAACTACATAAATAGAGCATTTGAGACCTGATCTGACAAAAATATAAAATTTTAAAGTTACGCCCGAAATGTTAAAGATACAAAAAATAAGCCAATTTTTAGAGTCCAAACATTTATTTTTCAGTAAACAAAAGTTTCGAATATAAACATAACCACGGTACAAAACATAAGGTAGTTCCATTTAATGACACCTTTGTTTGTATCATGTACACAACTATGAAAAAATCAGTATGTTTTGCACGAGTAAATTTATATAAGAGTAAAGTATATATATATATACAAATACTTGTATATACTTACACATGTAAGTGTGCGTTTATTTGGTAGTGTTTGGTCTTCCGGGACAATA